AGCTTCCCGGTTTTTGCTTATCAGAGGGGGTGTGCTTTCTTTAACCTTTCTGTAGTTAGAGTAGATTTATGTGTATGTATTTTTTTAATACTACCTTCTGATTGGTATGTTTTTTGTACAAAGTTAAGATCTGTGCTAATGTGTCCCCTCTCCAAAGACACAAAAAAACCCCAAACCAACCACAACTAAACCCACAACAATTGATGAGATATTTTTGTTAAATAGTCATATATGGCTCTGATGACCTCCTTACTTGTGCTGTGCATGTCCTTTGAAGTTGGCACATCTGTGAAGACAGACAGTACCTGTACAGAGAGGGGGACCTGTGTGACTAATGTATGTTAGTAATGCATACATGCCACTGCGGAGAGGGGCAGAGCAGAAAACTTTGAAGGGGTCCTAAGTTCATCCTTTTGACTGCAACGTTAGCACCACTGATGGTGATGACTGAAGTATCTTGTATCCACTGCATTACCTTCATTTCTGCATTTCTCTTTGGAGTTCATATTGTTTCAGTTGCTCGGAATGTTAGTAGCTCTCCCTGGAATGATATAATTATTTCCTTTCATAAGGAAGCTGAGACTGGCAATGGATTCTGTACCTGCCACCTAGTCTGTGTCTGTGGCCATACTGACATTCTTAAAGTTTTTACTCTCTCATCCTAAGTAGCTTGTTCAGGGTCTTCTGGGGAGTGCCCGCAAATTCAGATTGAATGGCAAGCCTGCATGAGGACTGTAGTTTTAAACTAGAAGCATACATTACCTTGTGTAAGAGTTTTTGAAATAGTAGTTTTACCAACTTTGTGTGAGGCATATGTATTCTTTCTTTTATTTAATGAAAGGGAAGAGAAATTCCAGACTAAATGCTATTTATTTAATACAGTATTAGGGCAGTTGGCAACATGGGAAAGAACTCTTAACAGGGAAGTAGCTTAGTTCCTTTTCAAATGGGCATGCATTTTCACCTTGGCTGTCCTTTGATATTTAATTTTAAATGGAATTATTGAAGCTTTTATTTGCATCTGCATTCTAATCCTTCAAACTCTGCATTTACCACTGATAAGTTTTCACTGTTTCTTGATCACATCATTAGCATCTGCTTTATTGTACTGTTGATGTGATACGTGTTTATCTCAAAAGGTTATGTTCCTTTAACATAACCAGATCAGTTTAAATGCATTTTATCCTATGATGTTGGGAGTAGCTGTAAAATTCAGTTATGGCAGAAGAGTCCTTCCCCCAGGAATATACAGGAAAGGTGTAAGATACCAGCATGGATTGACGACCTTAATAGTGTTTGAAGGCTCCTGAGTTTTCCTCTTTTCTCTCAGCCACCTTTATTTAGTCTGTTAGGATTTTCTTAGAAATTGTTTCCTGCTTGTAATACCATTGTGGAAAAACTTTACATGCTCTTGAAAAATATCTTGTCTGCCACAGATTGTCTTGGATGCCACAAGTGACCAAACCACTAGGACAGTTTCTGTTTAGGAATTACTATTAGGCTAAAGATCTCAGGATCTTTAATGTTGTATTTTGACCTCTCCAATGACATTCAGATATGAAGATATCAGATGACAAAATGTACCTTTCTCTCCTGTTTTCTTAAATATGTCACATTACCACAATAACAAAACAATTTATTTTTCAATAAGTAGGCATTATAAGAAATTCCACTAATTCTGTGTGGTTTTACAGCTGTGAAGAAGCAGAAGAGCTGAATATCTTAATTTAAAAAAAAAAAAAAAATTAAAAAAAATCGGGTCCATAAATTTCCATCTGTTGCATCCCAAGATTATTTGGACTGAGACTTGCCAAGAACTGCTGATGAAACACAATGGGAAAAGCAGAATTCCTCTCTGCAATATGGACCTTTTAGGGTAACTGAGAAGCTACAAAGAAACTGTTACCTTGTTTCTGTCCTCTGCCTAACCCTCTGTATAAATACCACCAACATTGGGCCTCCCAGGAACTGCACAGCTTGTTAAAAAAACTTCTGCTCCCTTCAAGCTCTTTCTAATGAAGTGGGCTTTATAATAGTGCTTCAAATTATCAGTGCTGTAACAGTGAACTAAGTCTTTCCTTCTGGTTTCTTAAGCTAGCAGCACCAATGTAATAGGGAACTAACGAAAATAATCTTAAATAAATGGGAGGTGGGGGGGCATGCAACCCTGGACCTTACCAACATGGTAAGAAGGAGCAGGAAACCTGCAAATGTACTTTAGTAGTTGCTTATTTGAAATACCTTTTTTTATTAATTGTTTGAAACAATTAAGCTTTGTACAGATTATTACATTACACTTAAATGCCTTATCAAGTAACCAAAGGTGAACAGTTTTACTGTCTGCAATTTGCTCTGCTCAATCAAAAATAAATAAAAATTAACATTTTATTGAAGTGAAATGTATAGTTCCCACTTCAGCTAGAATCCAGCACTATGAACCCAAATTAGTTTTTTTCAGAGATTTCACAGCAGAGGTGGCTATTGCAAACAGTCTTCAGGAGAAAATGTTTATTTTTATGACGGACTGCATATTGCATGCAAAGTATTCAAATAAAACAGTCTGACTTATGTCAGATGCAATTAAATATGCCATTAACATTTAAAAGAAACTGAAATTGCTTGTTGCTTGTAAATGTCCAGTGTTTCTAAATATCAGAACTGTTTTTGTCTGCATGCTTATCCTAAGCAAAAAGGAACAAAATGTCTTTTGGGAATCACCTTTTAGTCTCTAGCATTTTAATTTAAATTCAGGATGCAGCTGTCACCTATGCCAGTATGGTGTGGGGGAAAGCGCAAATTGTGAGAGTTTGCTAGATACACTGAGAGCAATGTAAGGCTCTTATGCTTTGGATATTCCTCAAAATAAAACCATGTAATTACTTGGCTAGTTGGAGTTAATACTTAATTGATTTGCTTTACTAGGAACCCTACAGCGATGAGTATGTTTGCCTAAAGAGGAGGAGCAGATGTAGCAATGTAAAGGTCCCTGAGTCCTTCTCTTAACTTAACTTGCACTTTCCTGCTTCTGCATAGACAAAGGGATGAAGTCTCTTCTCAGTCCTGCATGACAGCTTCTCCAGCAGCAGATTTGTCATTGTCCTTCATTGTCACTTATTTTTTCAGATATTTCCTAGTTGCTATGGGTTTTACCAGTTAACAGAACTAAAAGACCTGGAAAATGAACTAATGGCATTGTCAGGACAGGTGTATTGATAGCATAATCCTCAATGCAAACATACTCTCAGTTACCGGAGTAACTCATTGTCTTCAGCTACTCTGCATTATCTTGTCAGTGAGCTTCTGGCAGGCAGGTGAGAGGTCACTGCAGTCTCTGTACAAGCTCTGTATTTCCAGGTAGGATGGAGAATGATCAGAGCAGTGCCAGGAAGTTAAATTCTGTCATCCCTTTCAGCTTTATATTTGCAAAGAAATATTTAGTAGTAATGTTAAGTAATATGATTAATATTAAATATTAATCTGACCTGAGAAATTCCAAAGGAGTTGTTTATAGATAGAGGAAGGTGTGATTTATTCTTCACTGTGCAAACAGTAAGAAAATATGAGGAGGGGGGGCAGGGGGCAGCGGGGAGAGGAATATGTGTGTATTCCCTTCATTATGATCAAAAGACCATAATGATGAAGACACCAGTAAGATGCTGGCCTGGCAGCTTGATGAGACAAGTCCCTTCCATATGTTTTATCTGATGGACCATAGGTACTTGATACTAGTAAGGTACTGAATCACATAGCTAATAAAACGAAGCATAAGAGAAGAGCTTTACACTAGGAAGTTTTCTAGTCATTTACTTCTGGGTTTTATATATAAACCAGCATACGTTGTATTACTGTCCATAATTTACTTTAATTACAGATAATAACCAGTCAAAAGAGAGCAAATACAAACACGTGAGACAGAAATTAATTTATTTTAATCTGTAAAATTCCTTGCCTTGTGTTTCCTACTAACCTATCATGCAGGTGCCTTGAGGTTCCACTCCGCTTTCTGCCCTCCTCAGCAACCCTGGAGTAGTATATGAGGTTGTTGCCTTGTTTGGTTTTTTTGGGATCTACTGCTTGTTGTCCAAAAGTGACTGTTCTGCTCATACTGATAGAACTTTGCACTTGGGGTCATTTCCCTTCAGAAATGTGCCAAGTCTGGACCTCTTACCTTCCAAGGTCAGATGTGTTCAGTTTAAGGTGGAGGAAGCAGGCAGGGTTTGAAAGCTGTAGCATTGCAGGAAGTAAAACCAGAGGTATCTGAACACCAAGCCATAATACGGCTGCTGTGATAACAGGTGCAATTCTGACACTCTTTAAGAGAAGAATGAATCGCAGAGGCAGAAAGCATTGCTTGGTTTGAGGGACAAACAGAAGTGAACACTGATCCACATTCTTTTATTTGCACATGTTCCAAAATGACATCCACAGGCATCTGGAATAGAACAAAAAGATTGGTTTGTGCTGATACAGTGATACGAGCCATAGCTTTCAACTGGCAGGTAGAGAGTGCTCAGATGTTCTTTTTGCTACATTTCATAAGCGCAGATGTTTTTTTTGAGGAAGTAATGACGTTTCTATCAACAGGAGAATGAACATTTTGCTCTTCTGGTGTCAGAACCACTGAAACTGAATTCATCACTCCTCAGTGTCAGGGCTTCTGTTAAGCCAATGCTACTACTCAGGTTTAAGTTACACCCCGGGGCACCAGCCATGGCAGTGGATCCTTATTCTTCTCATGATTTTTCTCCTATTTGCATTGTATAGAGCCTAGAATGAGACAGCTGTTTTTGCTCTGGTAAAGCTCTGTTTGTGTTTGAATACAGTGGTGATGAAATAGCTGGGCTTTCTATGCAGGAAAAAGTCAATATCTTACGCTGTCATTGCAGCCAATATAGTCTATCTTTTTTTTTTAAATAGTAAAAGTGTTACATTTCCATTACAAATTTAATTTTAGGGTAAGATGGTGAAAGGAATGGGGGGTGCCATGGACCTGGTATCCAGTGCGCAGACCAAAGTGGTTGTCACCATGGAGCATTCGGCCAAGGTAAGGCTCTGCCGCTACTTTCTAAATAAGTGTTTTGTGCTGTACCAAAAAAAAAAAAAGAAGAAAAAAGACATTTTACAATTCATTCTGCTACTTTGTGAGGATTTGACAGTTTTGCTGTCAGTTATTATGGAGGTGCAACAGGGGACTAGGTTAGTATGGTTCCTTTCCCTTTGTGAGTGAATCATTCACCATGGAAAAAAATGAAATATTAACTTGATGTTTCAAAGCGGCACACATTTTTTAGTTACTTTATGCAAATTTAATGAGATTGCCAGAGCAACAGTAGATGCTACTGCAGAGGTTTTGCTCTTCACCTCAGAATAATTTGAAAAATGAGGTTCCCCATGGTTATATACTTGTTATGATGGAAGGATATTTACCTTTGAAGTTGCTAGTGAAATTGGTACTGACAGCTTAATAGAATAGATCTTTTCGTCATGATGAGATGCAGGGTGTCTTACATCATTATGGGGTAGAGGTTAATCTAGAGACTTCTTTGTGGTGGGAGTTTTATAGATATAAACAAGGAAACTTGTAATTTGAAACTTCTAAAACTATGAGAAAAATGTACTGAAGGACAAAAATCTCTGTTTTCAGTGAACTATACCAAATGTTTAAAAATGAAGTTTTTGTTTAATTTCTGTGTTATTGTTATTCCAAATTTGTTGTATGTCGTATGTCTGCATTAAGAATTCGTTGTGTATTGTTCAAGATAATATCACTGTCAGAATGCATAAGGGCAAGAATAAGGAATTCGCATGGTAAGCTGTAGTAAATATGTAAATACAAAAGCTAAATGTATTAACAGTTGTGTGTTTTTTAAATGTAATTTGAAGAATATTTTTTCAATTAAAAATAAAAAAATTGTTGAAAAATATAGTAGTTTCACAATTTATACTAAGCTGTGATCTCAAGGGGCACATTTTCAATAAGCAGGCTGAGTCTGACCCAGTAGTTTTCATGTGTATATGTATAAATAAGTAAACAAAAGTACAAAGCAAATTTATCTATATGACTCACATTGCTATCACAGCCTCCCAAAAACTGGTTATGTAATTATCATTTTGCTCAGACATGTACCTCAGATATTGTGATCTGAATAAATATTTATGCTAAATTTCTAGCTACTATGGAATTTGGTTAAGGATCAGAGTCCACACACACTGTAATTATTCATGCCAATTTTTCTCTTAAAAGTACTGTTTCTAAAATCTTTTTCAGTACAGTGTTTGGAAGTTGTTTACATGTTGTTTTTTTGTCGGTAGGAGTGCTGAAACCTGAAAAAGATGGAAGCACATGTAGGTTCACTGTTACAGTCCAGGCATAGACCTGTTTATTTTGTCATAAGTATACATAACTTGGGCTCTTATGTACATAGAATGCCTGGTGTGCACTTCTAGAGAGCCAGTTGTAGGCTTTCATAAATTATTTCATAGAATGATAAAATCCTTTAGGTTGGAAAGGACCTTTAACATTGAGTCCAAGCGTAAACCTAGCATGGCCAAGGCCACCACTAAACCATGTCCCTAAGCACCACATCTACAGGCCTTTTAAATGTCCCCATAGATGTTGACTCCGCCACTTCCCTGGCCAGCCTGTTCCAATGCTTGACAACCCTTTTGGAGAAGAAATTCTTCCTAATATCCAATCTAAACCTCCCCTGGGGCATCTTTAGGCCATTTGCTCTCGTTCTATTGCTTGTTACTTGGGAGAAAAGACTGACCTCCACCTCACTACAACCTTATTTTCAGGTATTGTAGAAAGAGATCAGGTCTCCCCTCAGCCTCCTCCTTTCCAGGCTAAATAGCCCCGCGTCCCTCGGCCGCTCCCCATCAGATTTGTTCTCCAGGCTCTTCACCAGCTCTGTTGCCCTTCTCTGGACTTGGTCCAGCACCTCAAAGTCTTTCCTGTAGTGAGGGACCCAAAACTGAACTGCCTAACCCTTCCCTGCCTATCCCTTCTGAACAGTTTATAGCCATCCATTGCAGCACTCCAGTTACTCGAAACATCCCACCATGTTTCTGTCATAGCAACTATGTCATAGTTTTCCTGCTGTACAATGGCTTCCAGCTCCTCCTGTTTATTGCCCATGCTGCATGCATTGGTGTAGATGCACTTCAGTTGGGCTATTGATCCCACCACTTTCTTGGGGGAAGAAGCCCTAATTCCTACATGACCATTCTCAGGTGCTTCTATGGTATCTAACCCATCAATGACCCTTGTGCCTTAGCTGCTGCTGTACCTCCACTGAGGCGGAAGACCCAAGGACCTCGTTATCACTGCCCCACAAACATTGAGGTGCCACCCCCAGGCTTATCTTGAGCAAGCCTAGTTTTATCCCTTTCGTCCTTCAAATCTTCAAATTTCTTCTGCTTTTGTGAGAAGGCACTGCAAAACTAAACTATGTGCATGATTTTTCATTTTATTCGTATTTAAAATGGAAGGTATTCTTGGCACTCTTTTTTTCTTTCCGCTTACCTAGCCTCTTTTTGGGGTCTTCATACTGCTTCTTGTTTGCTCAAAAGTGAAGATGATGAAATATGGAAATTTAATGTTTGGAAATCAAAAGCTGCTGTTACAGTTTTCAGGTGCTTCTCTTTTTTTCTCTCTCTCTCTTTTTTTTTTTAAATACCCAACCAAATATAGCACCCATGAGACTAGTTATGAAAGTCAGAAGCCTTTTATCGGGGCGTCTGCTTCTTACAAAGCCGATTTTATACTCACATCTTTTTAATTCTTTACACCAAATATTTCTCACAAATGTATTGCATCTGTATCTATGCATCAGAAAAGCAATCTTTTGTCCTGCTCAACGCCCAATGTGCTACTGAATGAAAGAAATGTCTGCAGGTACTGTGACAGTCTGTTGTGTCTGCTGGCTTTTTAGCATAGGGACATTTTTGTCATCTTATTCTGCAAATAAATAATAAGAAATCTGTCATTAGATGCCAAAGTCTCCTGTAAATCAACAGCAATCAAGATTTGATGGATAGAAGTACAGTGAAAGGCATGGGATATATGTGGTACCTTCAATGGACATGTTCAGAGTTGCTGCAATAGGTAGTTCTTGCAGTCAGTTTTGTCAGATTTGTGGTCTTGTCAAAGATATTTTAATCCTTTTCAAGTTTTTTTGTATAATAGTAATGGCTTGTTAAACATTAAAGTAAGTTTTCTAAGAGTTTAAAAATGCGTTCTTTCTGTACACATGATGCAGTTTTTAAATACAACAATAGGCTGAGTCCTTGCAGTGCAGGCAAAATATAATTTACACTTAATTATGAGGGTTAAACTAGTTATCTGTCTTAGCACTCAAATACTCAAAGAATTTTCCTTTTTTTAAACTCTGATAGGCAGTAGATTACAAATAAAACTAAATACACTCTACCTCAAATTATTTACATTTTATTTACTTAAATTTTTACTTGTAATGAAAACCAAAAGATACAGAAGAAAGAAGACTTTTCAGCTTAAGAAACGCTATTGAGAATGGGTAACATAGAAATACACAAAATAATAATGGCATGGAGAAGATGGATGCAGAATGGCTGGTCACTGCCTTATAAAAGAAGTAGGGGTAGCCACCTGAAATTAGCAACCATCATGTTTAAAACAACAAGAAAAAATTTTCACAGCCCACTAATGAAGTTGTGGATGATCGGCAGGATGATGCAGGAGCTCAAACAATTAAGTCTACATGAAAGGGACTAAACTGTTTTATGAGTTTACGTTCATCAGTGACAATTAAATAACATTGCCCAGAAGCAGTCTGTAGCTCAGAAAATCTATACATCACAGCATGTCAGGAACCAGGAGGGCATATCTATGGAAGGGTGGCTCAATTTTTGCTCGATACACTTAGACCACTGAGAGACACTTGGCAAATGGACCTTAAGTCTAATTTGTTATGGTATTTCTTAATGCATTTTTTGCTAAATTACCTTTTTGTTTATAACCATGAAGAAAAATAATAGAATGTAAGGTTGTTATTTAATCTCTAAACAGTTAGTCTGCATCTGTGCCTAATTTGCTAAATACTGCCTGAGATAAATAAAAGTCAAGTTCTTACCCCCATACCATCATTGACATGTTTTGCAAAACATAATAAAGTAATGGCTGGTAATTGTTGCATGTTGTGAAATGAGTTGTCTGCACCATTCAGAAAAATAGAATGGAAACTAGTTTTAAGCACTTGATTTGGATGTGACTGAAACATGGAGCACTGAATTGAAAACTCCTTTCTGTCATTGTGAATAGTTTTGATTTTAATGTGTTGTGGAACATTAAGGACATTTTTGTTCTTCAACAACAGAATTTTTTACTTAAAGCAGACTGAAAACACCTTAAAGTTTTATGTATCTGCACAACAGTCTTTTCCTTTATCTGAACAAATCCCATATGAACTCAGATGGTAAAAATTCATGCAGTTCCATTTGGATTCCTATTCTATCTACAATTCCTGTTCTATCTACAATAATCTTCAGCTCAAGTGTTAAGAGGCTGGAATGTATCAGTTCTCAGGGTCACAGGAGCCATTCAAGCTGGCACCTCTGCAAGTCCATGCGTTTCAATCTCATTTGGGTACCAGGAAGAGACACTGCATTTCATATGGCTGAGAAGTATACCTAGTAGGTTACTGAAGGTATTGCAAATAGCATGGATTAATCTTGGCTCTTAGGCAAAGTGCTCAGAAAGGTCCTCAAAATGGGCAACATAGAAGTAGATCAATTGAAGGTAACACTGTCGCAAGTCGTTATTTTCAAGAGTGAGTGAGTTTCATCAGGGTAGTGCCTGATACCAGATGTGGATCTTGGCAATACAATTAGAATTAGAATGGAGAAATAGTTCTTCCCAGAAAAAGATAAAGATAAATTCAAAAGCACATGGATTCCTCATTTTGTTATCAGTCAGGAGTCAAACTAGCTGAGAGATGGTTCCCGAATTTATATTAAGCCTTAAGGCAAACTGATGATTGTAAATTTAAAAAGTATTGCATTCAGACGGTTAAATGAGACATGTAATACTCTGAGAGTTTTGAAATGCACAACTGAAAATTGATAATTAGAGAAAAAATAAAAGCATGTGATAATGGGAGAAACATGGACATAATGCTGCCTCTGTAAAACAACTACAAATACTGACTAAAAATGTAGTGATCCATCTCTTATATATCCATTCAGAGATCTTGCAGCATACATTCATTTAGCAGGATCTAAAGGCATTTGTGGAGACCTATTAAAAAACTGAAATAAAAAAGAAAAAAAAGAAGGGGGAGGGGGAAAAAAGAAGGAAAAAACCCCGAAAAACCACCTAATTTTTACCTGCCTAGCTTCATGTCAGAAGTTGTGTCTTCTCATTAGGTAATATTTGTCCCAGGATTTAGAGTAGCTAGCATTTGATGCCCCAGAAAAGGAAGTGCCTTAAAGTATTTTATATACACACATTCTTTTCTACTATATTTGCATGTTAATTTGCTCTGTCTAATACAGAGATAATATAACTTCTGTGTGGCACTTGAAGATGAGCATATTGCACTCATCTCTTACTCTGCTTTCGGGCTTTCCTGGAGAGATGGGGAGAATGGGAATTCAGTGTGGGTAAGGAAACTGGATTTACTATTTTCAGAGCATGGCTATGGACTTGAGCCCTGGGGATTTGAAATGCCTATCTGTATGGCTGATGCTGTGCATACTGTTTGTGATAAAGTATAAGACAGAGAAATGTCATGCTCGCAATGTTTTTTTGTCCTTTATGTATCATCAGTGAGGTCCTGTGTATCTCTTATCCTCGCATTACAGCAGGAAAGACAAATTATTAGGCAGAAGTATGCAGAACTTCTGAACTCAAGAGCCCACGCAGTGGCACAGTGAGATTCTTATTAGTCATCTCCCTATATGTGGGACTTAAGTAATAACTGTCCCAAACTGCCAGAGATATAATCTGCCATAGAAGTGAATTCAAAGAGTATTCTGAGTACAGTGAACATTTCAATAATACTGAATGGATACAGCTGTGATTTTCATGTACGTGTTTGAATTCTGAGTAAGTTGTGTTGTTTTTTAAAATTAATGTTTGTCTGTATGTTGTTAAACTCAGGGCAATGTCCATAAAATCTTGGAAAAATGCAGTTTACCACTTACTGGGAAACAATGTGTGAACCGCATCATTACAGAGAAGGTAAAGTACTTTTCTTGCATCCTTGTGAATACTTTCCTCTTCTGTCCCTAAGAAGAGACACCTAGTAAAAGTAGCAAAGCTTAGTAAAAATGAAGAGTATATTTGGTATCTGTTGTCAATGAAGGGCAAACATTCCCTTGGAGTTCAATTCCAGACGTCTCCGGGTTCATATTTTTCCATTTAAAGCTTTCACCATTGACATCTGACATACTGAACCGTACTGTTAGATACCTTCAGAACAAAGATGCCATGCATGAGAAGTATGCAAAGGGTGTATCTCCTTATTTTTCCCAAAGTATTCCTGAAAATTTGCCGTGTGAGATGCAAATCCTCAAATACAGCTGTAATCACAGCTCTTTTTTTTTTCTAGCAGAGCAACAACTGTGTAGCACATGTATGTCAGACAATTGGCATCTTCCTTGGTGTATACTACAGACTCTTTCAGAGAAACACAACCTGTAGCTGTAGCAGGGCTTTAATTCTTTTGTCCTTACTTGATTCCATTTGTGAAGCAATTTACTCTCTAGTGTGAGTACATGTAAGCATCTGATATTGCTGGTGCTCGGAGTACGTTAGTGGATATTTTCAGCAAACGATAAGTGATTAATGTTTTTGCTGTAATCATACTCCTTTTATTATCAGTGTTTACATTTTTAAGGGCTTAGAGTACTCCCTCTGTGAGCCATCTATCGTACTAAGTAGAATGCATCAAAGGTGCTGATGTAGAATTTGCTTTCTCCCAGTGGTATATTGCTACTGTAATTTAAAGGTTTTTTCCTCCACAAAGTAAGGGAAGATAAATGAAAACGTAGAGTTTTTTCCAGTCTGCTACTGACTAGCCACATACAAATGTAAGGTACAGAAAGATGAGAGTGAACAAGGACTGATAGAAAATAAACAACAAGCAGAAATTTCTGTAAGAGTCACCGCTTGTCAGATCTGGTTGCTTTATTAGGAGATGACACAAATGTACAACAGTACTTAGATAGTGTTGCAAAATCGGTTTCCACACTAACTTCCTAGTATGTACATTCCTTATGCCCAGCTTCTCTTTTAAGACTTAGAAGAGCTGTTGTTTTTCAGTCCCATAAATCAGTCTCCTGTGCTCAGAGGACATCTGAACTTCAGTACACTTCTGGGAGGAGCTTAAGACTTCACTTTCATTTCAAGTTCAATCTTCACTGGTCTTTTGCTACTGACTTTCGTGTTTTTAAGGAAAATTACTATAGACCTTATGGTTTTCCTGGCAAGTCCCTTGCAACCTGTGTATCTCCCTCTGGTAGGCACCATTAAAGTGCACATTGTTTTACTGGTGTTTTTATTTGATGTGCTTGTGAGCCTTGAAGTGGAAAGCATATGCTATGAAGACATCAGAAAGAACAGCCTTTGCTCCTTCAGCCACTTCCTCCCAGGCTTTCTATTAAAAATACAACACGAAATCTTGTCGTCTATTGCTAACTTCTGAAAATACTAAAATTTGCCCTGGGTGTGCAATAGCTGTCAGAGAAGCTTATAATCTGATGAAGGTAATCAACCACTGTACTTCTCTACTGGCCTTAAAATGAAATAGAAGAATGAGGGAAACATGTCTTTTCCTGTTTTCCTTCTTGAGCATTGTCTTGCAGCAAAGAATGTCTCAGCCCTTTCCTTTGGACCTCCCAGTTCTCACCATACTGGAGCAGGACACATGGTCCTCATTTAATGCAATGAAGAACAGTTGCACATTTTTCCCAGATAACTAACACATCTCATATTTTAGATTCTTTCAGGTACTAACAAATGTAGCAGAAATCTTTATTGGTCCATCAGAAAAATGAAAAGGGAAACCAATTGATAACGGCATCTTTTGTTACTGAGGGAACGCTGCCTACTTCAGCACACTATTTTGTACAATATTACTACTTACATCCTCATTTTCTGCTTTCATAATAAAAAATTAATTGTGTGCCATTTGAACCTGACAGGCTGTGTTTGATGTGGACAAGAAGAAGGGATTGACCCTTGTGGAAATCTGGGAAGGACTGACAGTGGATGATATCAAGAAAAGCACTGGGTGTGACTTCACAGTAAGTCATTTCACAAATATAGTTAGTTTGGTGTCAGAACAAATATTCTCCACAAATACTTGTCACATGAAGACTTGTAGACACGGTAAGTTTCCTCGTTGTAAGTGAGAGCTGGATAGATTACCTGTGGGGTTTACAGTGAAAATAGGAAGATAATTTAGGGCTAATCTAGTATTATTATATTGGAAGCATTAGAAGCTAGGAAAAACAGAAGAGATGGAGAAATGACTGAGAATAAAAGGATAACATGGAAAGGGAACTTTTATCATGCTTTGAAGAAGGGAGCTGATTCATATCTGAGAGGTGTATATCCACTGTATCCACTTATCCACTGTGTAAGTTAGTTTCCCTAACTCTGTTGAGAAGTTTTCATGCTATCTGTAGATGGGGTTGTGACTCTTCTCAACAGGGGTGACTACATGTGTCCATTCCATGTTACTAGTAGACTAGTTACTAGCCAATCAATTAAATGCTCTGCTGCTGATCCCCTTGCTTTTTCTCTTCCATTGCCTTGTACAAATGAAACTTGTGCTCTGCATTAATCCAGAAAGCCACTGCCTTTTGACCTTCACATTAATTCTTAAGTCTCACTCAATGCTAACACAAAACTGACTCATTGACGGAAAGCTGTAGTGCACTAGATTGTAACCAATTGCATATGTGTGGTTGATAATATATAGTTTCTTCATGGCGTTCTCCTACATGCACATTACAAAATTTTTTCTTCTGTGTTGTGAAGTCTTTTGGGGCAGGTCAGCCCTCCTTTGGCAAAGACAGCAAGTATGACAGTATACAAATTGTGCTGTAAAAATACTTGGGGAATATTTGGTAATGAAGTGCAATACTCTTCCTCTTTGCAGAGTTTCATGGCATGGCTAGGCCACATAACTAAAAGACTGCAGAGCAGTTAGTATGTGAAAGAGTTTGTTGTTAAGGCTTTGAGCATACTATTGGCAGTAAGTAAAACTTTCTGAGCAATGAGCCTGTGGAATTTCATTCATTTCTTGTGTCCATAAGAGAGCATTTCTGATAACTAAATATGATAGTCTATGTTTTTCTTGTGGAGTTTTAAATATTTTAAATAAGGATCTGTTCGCTGCTGAAAATACATTTGTTTAATCTGAGAAAATTTGTTTGGCTGAAGACAAATGACCTGCAACTGCAGAGTGCAGGAAACTGCTACAAAATCACTTTGCTCCATTATTAATTTTCTATGTAACATTTTATGGAAGTAATTGTTATTTTTTAATTTACAGTGGAAGCAACTTTCCGTATCCAGCAATTCTGTGTGCAAAAGAAATTATTTATTCAGCTTCTGACTGTGATTTAGGAAAAAACGATCAATTTTTTAAAACTTTGATAATGTCAAGACTTCTTTTTCTTTGGCTGATCAGCCTGTCAAACAGCTAGCATCCAAAATTAAAACACAAAAATGACCTTGTAGGTTTGTATCTATTGCAGTCAGTCAGTTTGTTTTGTTCTTGCGTATTTAATTTGGGGATTAACTTCATGATGAATTTGAAGGTACAATGTTTAGTAAGCATTTAAATAGACTGAAACTACAGGAAAGTACTTTTGTTGTCAGAAGACACCAGTCCTGACATGTTCCAAACCTTCTTGTTTGGAAGGAGTTGGTTTCTTTTTCGTTCAGGTGACGAATATATATGTATTTAATTGAGCCTGCGTTACCCAAAGTAAAATCCAGCAGCCTATGCTGAAGGCAGTGAAAGCAGAAGCAAGCAAAGAGTTCAGAGAAAGAAGTGATAATCTTAAAATGGTGGACTGTGAGATTAAGCCTTGCAGCAAGACTATTAGGACCAATGAAAAGATTAGCACCACCCACTGTCTATTAGTGCTTTCCTGTAAATGTTACAAAGGAGTGGTATAAATATTGAATGTCTAGGATAGCCTGAAGTTAGCAATTGATGAGAGGTATTGCAACAATCCACCTGGGATCCATCTCACTGGGATCAGGAACGGACACTTGACAGGCACCATTTCCTGGTTCTCCTGAAGGCAAACTCCAGCACAGCCTGCTTTGTATGGCTGCTGTGGTCATGCATGAAATCATGAGCTGCACTAAAGGAGCTGTGGGCATGAAAAATGTAGATGCTGCTTGGTTTACGCACTTTCATATGCTTATCTTGAAAGCGCACAGCTTGCATAAATGCTTGCAAAGCAATGCTTGCTTGCTAAGCTGTACCTCTGCCAAGGTATGTGCAGGGGTCAGCATTACCTACTGATTGGTAGTTCCAAAAGTGCCTGAAATCTCTATAGCGCTGCAAATGGAAAGCATGAACCACAATGATTTGTTTATTAAAGCTGTGGCATGAGAGAGCACTAGCTCTTCCTTTCTTTCTGTTTTTTTTTGTTTGTTTGTTTTTTTTGTTTTTTTTTTTTTAAACCCCCACTTCTCTGAAGAATGTTTCCAGGCCACAGTGACCCAGACCTCCTCTCATTGAAATCCTTACTGAAACTTAAAGTGACATCAGTGACAGCAGCAAGACTGGATCACTGTTGTGTAATATTGGACCGCTGATGGCCTGATTTTCACCTACAGCTCCTTCACTTAGTTTTGGAGTTCAGAAAATAGAGATTTGAGCATTGAGACAGGCATTCGTTCAGAAAGCAGCATGTTCAGTCCTTTTTTCCACATTTCAAGACTCTGCCTCAAGCTTCCTTGCAAGAGTAATAGTTGTGCTTGTTATGTTCACTGAAGAGACATCTTGTTCTTGTTTATATTGGTGACAGGAAGTTTAAGTGATACTGTATTGCTACAGTAAAAGCAGGTTTTTTGGATCATACATTTGACTAGTTAGAAACAGAACTAATGCATGGAAAATGAGGAGTTGACTCTTTTCTAGCAGCATTTTCCAGTGCATGCAGTGAATGATCTGAACTAAAACAAGTATCTTTCTAGGTTCATTACAAGTGAGATTTTAAGGGATGGCTGTACCTTTATAGATAACTATCTCTGCCCGTGCAGACTACACTTTTCTGGAGAGGAGAACTTTATAGCCTATATGAGGCTTTCTTTGAGACACATTTGGCTATACAATTCAGTTTTCACAGTCTGAATACTTATTTGGGAAAACATTTCCTAAAGGACATTTGCAACAACAAAATGTCAAAGAAAACAGAGTCAACAATCCTCATTATAGACCAGCATCATATAAAAAAAAAACAATTCACCCTCGATTTTACTGTGCTGTGAAAACAAAGTATTGGCTTATCTTGCATCCTTAAATCAGATTTGCTGTAGCCTAGCATATAGATCACCTTGGCAGGTAATCTGTTTGGGCTTCCACTGGTTTATGCTGTGGATGAGACCATGAGAGAACAGACCAGGAACCACACTTTTGCAGATGTATTTCATTATAAAAATAATCCAGATAAATCTATCTCGGTAAAAATTCCACATCACCTCCTTTTTTTTTTTTTTTAATATAAAAGCTCAGTTTTACAAAATTATTCTAAAAGATAGCATGGATTTTAGGAAAAGCATCTGCCAAGGAAACATTAGGTAGTTGAATAGCAATTGATTAGTGTATGTTTAACCAGAAATTGACTGTCCAAGTTCAAGCCAGTGACTACAGAATAATAGAGGCTATAGTTTTATTTTCTGGAAGTACATTTTGCTTTGAGGAAACAGGCTGTTGCAGAACGTAATCCATTTTTAAATGGATATTGTGTTTTTTCCTGATCATCACCCCCACTGCAAAAGTTGCATTAGGAATGGATTATTTTACAAAAACTGATGTTGGAGTTGTGGTTTGCTGTAATCTGCAATTTTAAATAATTAGGAGTTAATATAGGATAAGCAACTTTTATTATTTTAACAAATATGCTAACACTTCTCTTTTTTTTTGAGGGGCTGTTTTTACATTTTTGAACAATAACATGCTTTTGCATACCTGATAAGGTCATTAGAAGTTATTAGGACTCAGCATCATTCAGAATTAGGCCTTCAGTCATTAAGCATTGGAATGGGCTCCCCAGGGAGGTGGTGGAGTCAGCATCCCTGGAGGTGTTCAAAAAACGTTTAGATGTGGGGCTTCGAGGCATGGTTTAGTGGGCATGGTGGCATCAGGTATACAGTTGGACTTGTCTCTTCCAACCATGATGATTCTATGATTCTATGAAAGAACTGCATGCTATAAAGAAACACAATTAAATAAGCACAGGGCTGTTTGTATAGCTCAAAAGGGTACTTTGGAGTTGGAAGTCAGAGTCAACAAGCTTGAACTGCAGGGAGTCCCTGAGGCCGTGTCCTTTTACCAGTTCAGAGGCTGGGTACAGGACTGCCCAGGCAAGCTCATCCCAGTACACCTGCCTGTTGAACCGTAGCAAAGTAATTTGAAGCTTGCAAGATAAGCTGTTCTTCTGGTAAGTGAAATAGTATTAAGAATGTGCTACTTAGGAGGTACTGTAAGAAAGTAGCAATTCTGTGGCTGTGTACTTCAGAATAGTCTTCATTAGGAACATTCAGCCCTTACCAAATGCTGTGCCCCTAGCACGGGGTATTGCCAAATTGACTGACTCCACTGGGATTTAAAGTAGTGGACTTGGGGCTTTCTGCGTTTCAGACTTCATTACTCCTTGTTTTCCAAGCACAAACCATCCTTTTTGTTACATTAGCAATTTTCTGCTTATTTAATCACATTTTATTTAGAACAAACAGTTGTGTTTGGGTCCAGTTCTGAGTGATGCAGTGCTCTCACCAGCTCTGTTATCTTCAGCAGGCATTGTGGCACTTCAGCACTCACGGGGATCAGACCCGTTCTGAAGCGCATAGTGGTATGCACAAACGGCAGCTGTTAGCATCAGATGTGCAGACATTACATTTAATGTAATATGCTTATTCAAATGTAAAACACTTGAGGTTTTGATGGAACCAAAGTCTACGACAGCAGAAAACCAATAATCTCCTCCAGTAGTTGCCTTTTGTAATTATTTGCAGAATACAGATTTTAATGGTGCTATGTTTGTCCTCCAGTTTTTGCCTTTACTTCAATGGAAAGATCCCTGAGTGAGGCAGAAATAGGCCCAAATTAAGTGAGGCACATAGGGACTTGGAGTCAGAAACGAAATATTTCTGGAACTAGTCCAGAAATGCTGGTGCACTCAGGGAATTTCTTCAGCTCCTTTACACTTGTACCTATTATATCTATTTATTATCGTAGTTCACACACAACTTAGAAAAATCAATTAAGAGTTTCCATCCACTGAAAACGTTTCATTAGCTTTTGATACAGTAAACATTTTCTTCATGAACTAAGCTTTCCTTGGTGCTTATTCTTATAAGATTATGAATGATGATATGTAGTGGCTGGAGGAAGGATAACATAGAAATCTAACTGGTACAGTAAATACAGCCCTTTACCTCTAAAAGAAAGAGGCTTTAATGCTTGGAAAGGCTTTTATATATCGTTCTTTCATAAGTTAGCTTGTTCAGTATTGGTAAGTGAAAAAGATGGGATAAGGAGGAAGAAGGAATGCAGAATGTGATGTTTCAGTGGGACAGGTTAATCAACTAGGAGCCAGACTAACTGTGGAACTCTTTCGTCCTGAACAAGTAAGATCACGTGAGTTATTTTTGATCTTCATCCTGGGGCACCTATTTAAATAAGGCTAGGAACAGGAGATATTTAAAGATTTAGATCTTTCGTGGAGAGCTTTTCCTCGGGGGACTTGTGTAGACCTGCAGTCAGGGTTCAACCAAATGTTAACCATTGCTACTCTTCAAAGTCTTCTCTGTATTGTTCCCATTTACACCTTCTTTCCTCATCTAGTTTCCTATTTAGGCTTCCTGTGTTTTATTTCTGGTCTGCTGGATATCTTATAATATTACTAATTGATTTTTGTGAGTATATGGAATTAAAACAATAGAATACATAAGTGTGTCCTCACACAAAAATGAATGTGAATGGAAAAAGGCAAGTTTAAAAAACAAAAGTAAAATGAGAAATATTAAACTGTATCATCATCAAGGAAATCAAATGAATGGGAATGGAGGAAGGCAAATTAAAAAAAATAGGTAAAATTAAAAGTATTGAATTGTATCATCGTCAAATAATCAAATCAAATGTATATATATACTATAGGTACAGTATGTGTATCATATACATTTGATTCTATATCCCCTGCTAATATGCATTTTCCAAAACTCAGTTAACTACTTCTGCACAGACCCAGCATTGACAAACAGCATCCTATCTCCTAGTGGGTGGAGGAAAAGCAGAATGAACTTGGCTATTGAGCAAAGAAGGGAAATCATCATTTTAAGATTCCTTGACATGCTTGTTTTAGTATTGCAGTGGCAATTCAATCGTATATTAAATATAAACTGTTTTGTTTCCTCTACATCATTCAGTGTAGTGATTTGTGAATGCAAGTGGATTAGAAGGTGATGGCTGAAGCCGTTGCCCAGCTGCAGCTATCTCTCCTGTTGCTGTTCATGGCAAGTGCAGCCCCACTGTACAAACCTGTGACCCTTTATGGGCCAGTGCATTAATTAAGCTACAGCCTATTTTTGAGTTATATTCATGCGCCATCTTGTATGCTGTATAATTGAGGAGCTGCTTCACCTGAGTTCAGCTATCCCTTCTGCTGGCATTGGAAGCCATCCAAGAAGACCATGCAGTTAGCAGGGGCGAGTACATCTTCAGTTGTCCAAGTTTAATCTGCTTGCATTCTTAAATCAATAACCCAACTCAAAATAAATGAAGTTTAGAGGCTGAATATTAGCACCACACATATCTTGTATTCCTGCATCAGCAAATTTAGTTGTGGGAGTGTTTATTTCTGAAATACTGTGAAGAGAACAGTTTAAATAAATACAGTGTCTCTAGTCTTCAATGGCACATAGCTGATAGAGGTGAAAGTGAATGGTGGGTTGCACTGCTATATCTGTATGACAACTGTTGTGTTTTTCCCTCCTTTTTGCTAGGTTTCGCCAAAACTAATACCAATGAGGCAGATTTAAATGTGAAATACAGACTGGGTTAACTTGCCAGAAGGCTTGTTTCCAAATGGGAGCTGAGTGAAGAGAAATCGATGACTGTTTTGCAATTTGTCTTTTCTTTTTTTCTTTTTCCTCTTTTTTTTTTTTCTTAAGGGCTTTGTAAGTAGTTTCCAGATAGTTAAACTCAGGCTGTGAATATCAGTCTAAATTGTATTTTACTTTTATAACATTACCAATTTAATGGAAGGGTGAATTTATTCCCTAAATTTTGAATAATGTTATACTAAAATGTTAATGAACATTGTCAAAAAAAATGCCTTGTAGTCTCTCTGCCAAATACTACATTTTTTACGCAGAATCAGAAAATGACCATGCAAAACTCATGATTGCCTCTGTTTTTCCCGATTTCTTTAAACTTATAAGTCACTCCATTGCTTTGGAACTACAGCACTTACCACGTCCATTCTCCTGTAAAGGTGTGGGGTTTTTTTCTGGAGTGGTCTATAGCAAATATACACAGCTGTAGAGAGACATCAGGAATATGGTCTTCCCTTTTCCTGAACCTTTTCGTGAGTCTGTGACAAAACTGTTTATACTGGTGGAAAACTGGGTCATTAGCCATGAGTGTATCTGCTGTTTCCACAGTATGTGTCTGTTGGCATTAAGAAACCTACACCTCTCTGACCCCTTATATTTAAATCATACAAACTAGAATGGGGCTAATATGAAGGAGGAAGATTAAAGTCTCCGTAGACAACCGGTAGCTGCACAATTGTTCCACGAAGGGCTCTTACTCTCCAGATACAATCCTTCTCCCCAGCCCTATTCAAAGGCAAATGAAGACTTTCGGGAGTGAGGTCTATCCTTCCGGTGTTACACAGAGAAACAGGGATAGAGAATGTTGTGGGCACTTGGAAGACTGAAGGGAATACAGTTGGTTAAAGGTAAAAGCACTAAGTTTGCACCACTCTCTGATCAAGGCATCGGCAAAAACTAAAGAGTTTGGAACCCAAACTGATGAAAACTAGAATGAATGCCATGAGACAATCAAAAGGAAAAGTCATTCTCTCATACTGGTTCTGCTATTTGATAAAGATCTTCCTTTCCCTGTGTTAATTACAAAATGACTGTTATTTTTGCAAATAGGTAATGTGACAGCATTGGATCTCACATTGAAAATCAGCACAATATGTCTTTATTATACACAGCATGAACTGACTGGAAATCCAGATTTACTAAAATACAGTGTTCTCTCCAAGTATAATGGTTTCTGTCATTCTTATAAATAGGAACACGTAAAACACCCCAGTTCAAATAATTCCTGACATACTGTTTGACATCAGGACTGGAGCAGATTAAGTGACTGAAAAACCTGTAAAATGTAGATGCACAAATAAATAAATATGCCTGTCATACCATGTAGTAAGTAGTGTTGGGATATGGTATAGAAGGGCATTCTAATACTAGATGGGTGAGGTATTCACCATAGTCAGTGTGTGTTCTGGAAGGAATGTAACACATTTCTAGGGAACCAGATAGGAAAATCCTGCAATATTTAGCTCCTGTACTAACCTTTGTACTGCATTTTTCCATGTGAATATAAGAAATGCTTCTCTTTCGTGGGACATAAAATTTGTCTTGATCCACACATGGGTTTTATAGCAGTAAAACTGTTTTGATTAGAGAGATTATTTTATTTAGTTGCATTTACTCTAAACAATTCTTTGAATGAGTCTTGTCAATACCAGAATAGATTATCCTTCTTCCCACAAAGGAATAAACAGAATGCCTTTGTAAGCATCTTTATGCTACTACAAAAGTACTCCCATGATACTAAGTTATATGACTTGAACTCATGGGTGCTAATGGGTGGTAGGCCATTGTATAGCCTGACTGTGTAGGCTGGACCTCATGCTGAGCCCATGGGAAAGAAACCTGTTATACAAAGACTAGTGCTAGCTTCATGATTAAACATAATTTGGTTGATAGGTAATGTGCATGCAAGACTTGAAACGACATTGATCGAAGTGCTCCAGAATATCTTAACCCAGGATTAGTACAAGTTAGTTTTTACGCAGCTTTAGCTTTCACCTGTTTTCTCTGTTTAGGTATATTGCCTATGTTGTTCACTCATTCCAAACAAGTTACTTTCTTAAAGTTTGGTCATTTCTTTTGCTGTGGAGGTGGACTGAAGTTCTGCTTAGAGAGGTTTTGCAGATGAAAAGTCTCTATATAACAAAAGTTGACTCTCTTTTAGCTCAGTATGAAACAGTTTTGGTTTTGGATAGCGCAGCCCAGAGACCTCTTCCCTAATCCGTAAAGACACTTCAGTGACAATTCTGACCCTTGTGGTGCTGTATGCAGGAAAAAGTGCCTATCTTTGCCTTCAGGGTCAAGGATGGGTGAAGAGCTACTCTGAGGGGATGGATGTGGTCCCTGAGGATGTCTTGTTCATCGTCATTCAAAGCTCTCATAGAGAATACCCAGAATGGATGCTGGTTTTAAGGGACAAGTGTAAAAACTATTATACAGGGAAAGGGAGTTACTATAACTTATCCAGAGGAAAAATATGTATTTAAATAGCTAGGGAAGTCTTAAAAAAATCTATGAATGAAATGTTGATCTATTGCAATTACCTATGCTACATTAGTTGTAGGACTGATTAGTTAATTACAGCAAACATTTATTGACATATATAAAGTACCAGAGAAGTGTCTGAGCGCAGCATCAGGTGTATGCTGCTTCTGCCATAGAACTATGCTTTGCTGGCATACGCACAGAAGCCATTGTTGTCATTAGTACACGGCTATGAAAAGACTAATGACCTAATAATGTCTGGGAGTTCAGCACCTTGATTTCTGAAGCAAAGAATTAGGAGCCAAGAACTCCTGAGTTTCAGCTTTTCCAGTTCTCCACTTACTGCCTTGAGAAACGTCATCTGTAATCTCTGCCTTGTCCCCTGTTGCTGGAAAAGGAGCTGTTTTTCTTCCTACCTCACAGGGATGTTGTGAGGAATACCAGCTAAGGTCTGTGCAACAGGTTGTTTCTTCTCTTCAGCTTGGAGACCACACTTGATGAAGAGTGTGGAAAAGTACTTGAAAACTGTCATACATGCTGGATATTTGAGTTCTGTGTCTTCTCTTACTTGTATCAGTGTTAATGCAAGAGGGCAAAAGTCAATATGGTGCTGAAAACTGGGGAAGAAAGGAGAACAGGCTCTCTCCATATACAACAGTGGTGCAAATATCTGTATGTCACACTTGAATGTTTTTATCCTGAGGACAATATATTGTGGTAGAGTATTGATATTGTTATGAAAATGTTGTGTGTCCACACAAGCTAATTGCAACAAGCTGTGACTTCAGTTTTTTAATTGATTTGTAAAGTAGGATTAGAAATTAAAGCAGTCCTAAGTATTTCCCTCCCAGTGGACACATGAGAGCTTCTTGTTTCTCTTCAGCGGTTGATGGTATGCATGGAGGTTTATTGGGATATTGCTGAGATTATCCCCTGCTTGACAGCACTTCACAAGACAAGGACAGTTAACACTCTTTGTCCTGAAGAAGATGATGATTCTACTATATTATCACATTGGACTTATTTCACTTTTTATTGTCTTTTGTCCCTGAAAAGGCAAAAAAATAAAATATTATAGAAAATGTAGATGTACTGTAAACTCTGCAAACTAAACATCAAAGTCCTTCTATGTATTTGCAAAACAATCAATAAAATAAAGATTAAAAATGTCATCTATTTGTTACCATTTTTCATGGTGTTCTGTTCTGCCATTAGGACCAGTAAAAGATTAGCTCATGTTCCCACCAGCATGTCCCACTTCAGCACAAGCAAAAACCTCAAGGTCTTGGCTGAAGGTGGATGGATTTGATAAACAGAAGTAATGAAGCTCAAAACTCAGCTAACAGCTGGATTCTCTATGTTCTCTCTTCTCACTGATGTCTCTGTTGGGTTAATTATCACATCCATTTTCATAATTACTTGTTTTTCAATCATGTCAAATAATGGACTACACATATAGTCCTTAGAGAAGTGATTTTTTACCTTTTGATTAAAACTGCTGTAGAAATGACAGCATTTGAGATGTTAATCATTGATGTTAGTGTGTGGCTGCACTCTGAAAAAAGTACTAGATGACACATGAAGACAAATTGCATTAACCACCTAGTGAATGATAACGTAGCTGATTGCAAAGTGATGAAAATGCTTGTCTGTGGATAGTGGGGTCATCCTTCGATACATGTCATAAAGTCACGAGTAAATATGTCATAGTATCATTTTATCTTCAGTATCATCAGAAAGCAACTTGATAAAGGTGAAGAAATATGTTTATGCTCAGAAAACTTTGATGACTCACTCTGAAATGAAACTCTTCAGTAATTTATATGCGTGGTCAAAACTCAAAAGTCTGTCACCCCTTTGAAGGCAGGGTACAAGCTGACTTCAAGGCCAATAGGTTCTCCACTTGCCTCCCATGGTACTTAGATTTATTTATTGTCTTTTATTATTGCAATGGCTTGCAAAAGCAAGTAGAACATTACGTATTTGTGGGAGCAGTAAAGTCTAAAACTAGAATTTCTGTTTCCATGCTCTTAGAGCTGTCCCCTGAGCATGCAATCCAAAGAAAAACTGTTAAAATTTTTGTAAAGCTGTGATAGATGCTTAGACTGCAGCTGCTGCAATGCTTTTGCGCATTGCCACTGCTGCTGTTGCACAGGGTGAGAAGTTCTCCCTTCGGTGCAGTGCAAATCGTCATGTTTGTCTCAAACCTGTGCCCATATGAGATTCACAAGCAGGTGTCCATCCCTCTGACTGCTGAAGGGTCTCACCAAGTATGTAGGTTTGTGAAGTTTCCAACATAGCAGTGGCACAGCCCCAGCTTCTTTAAAAAATGGTGATGATACTTCTTTTCCTGTATTGACTCAGCAAGTAGAGTTGGTGAAGGTTCTGTTCCTAACTCTGTCCAGGAAGATTCAAAGCACTTCTCGCTTGTCCCAGGAAAACACCTAACCTGCCACACTGCAGGGTGAGCTGGCCAAGACAGCTGCTTCAGGAGAAACCAGCTTACTTTGTAGAAAGGATTGCCAGGGCTACAAGGCTGTGGATAAACAAGTAATGAAGGAGCACAAGACGGTCACCTAGCATGTAAGTCATTCACCCAGCAGTAGCAAGGCCTGAATTATCCTGTGAAGAATGGCTTTTGTTTTATTAACGCAGGCTTTAAACTGTAAGCAACTCACTTCCCCTCCTTTCTGGCTCCCCTGCATGTAGGCACCTACCTGCATTAAGCCATGTGTTTTGTTTCAGGGCAAGTGCAGAACAAAAATGTGAGGGCATCTGCAAAACTGGCACGTCAAACAGTGTGG